AGGTAACGCAGACGATTGCAGCGGAAAAAAAAGTCGAGATAGTACACTGCACTACCCGAGTTCAATTCCGACTGTAGAAGCAGAAGAAAGCTAGACGAGGTGGATATTTCAGTCAACCCTTGATAAGAATACATCGTGGGAAACATGGTTAAGTGAAATCCAATAAAAACGTGATAAAAAATAATGTCATTGTGGGAAAATTCAACTATTAGTTTTTCATTATCTTATTCGATCAAGAATAAAGAGCTCCTATAAAAGCCTAAAGTTTTTTTAAGCTATTAGGACTTATGGATAGTTGAATTTATTAGATATTGTGATAAATATGAAAGAAAAACAATTTTCATATTGCTTAAAATGAATAAAGGTGAGCACGAACTTGACAACAATGGTGTAAGCACCCTCAGACCGTGCAGAAGCATCTCTGACAAGAAATGAGCCATCAGGAAGACCAGACATGACAGTTCGCACGACCTGTTGAGTGACATCACCCCAATACCACTCGCGCTTGACTAAATCAGCTTTGTATAGCAAATTCGAATCAGATGAAGGATCTTGGAGAAAAAAGGTAGGTAATGTATTAAATAATAATTATTTATTTGTGTTCATCCGATGAAGTGAGAGATAAGCAATTGAATGCAACTTGAGCCAAGATAACAAGTCATCAAGGGAAAAGTCCATTAATCCTTTGTTGAGAATAAACTATTTACTGCATAAATTACAAGTCAATTGAATTAATCATATGAAATGGTGTAGTATTATCAAATCCTGAAAAACTAAATAAATGAAGGATATATAAGACTTTCACATACAAATGAAATCAGAGAAATACTAATCGGGAGAATAGCAATAAGAAACTGAATTTCCTAGATTTTGTAAGAGGAAACAGCATCAGACCTCATTAAAATTAATAATCTAAGCAAATATAAACCGAAGTCAGTAAGAAGAGAAATTTTGAAAATAAATTAAAAATAACTCCAGAGATGACATCTTAGGCAAGTATTTACCAGGAGCTTGGACTACTCGCAAGTTTGGTGATGCTGCTACTGGACTAGTGATCACTTGCTCAATAATTGCTTCCTCCGCTTCCTCATCCTCTTGAAGCAAATGCTGAGGTATGGCCTGAGTGGGAGATGCCACCAAGCTACGGAAAAGGGCTGTCATTACACTGGTTTGAGCCTGAGCTGCTAACGCCAACCGGTCAATCCAAGATGGTGGTGGCGGTAAAAGAACTCGGCTAAATACAATCAGCCACTGATCGGGTTGATCTAGCTGGTTCAGCTGGTCATTATTTTTACTAGAACGTTGAGGCTGCAGCTGGTATTCTGTGCGCCCAGGCAACGATGACTTCATTGGCAAGCACCCAGGTATCTCACTCTGCTGATGCAAACTTTGGTGGTGGCGACGCTGAGCTGTCAGCAAGTGGATGTGCAGCTTGCGCTGATGTGCCCAGATAAAAACTAGGTGGCGCATAAGGTAGCGCAGAGTGCTAGCGTGAACCTTAGGCAGACGGTCGAGTAACTTATTAACTTCTGCATTAACGGAATTGTTGTCTGAATCAAAGATCAAAATACAATGATAATTAGAACATAATCGACACCTTATAACCATATTAATGACATTGCTATAATTTTTTTTATCATCAACTAAGTAAATATTAGAAAATATAGAGGTTATTTTACATTGTTTTCGCAACTTTGTCATGTTGGTAGGAAGACTTAGAGTAACGCATCTAGTCCTGACTCCATTGTCTGCATGATCATTTCCAAAGTTGAACCGTGGACATGGTACATTCCCAAACGTTTCGCCGGCA